TGGATTTTTTCAAGGTCCATCGTAGAAGATGATGATGTATAGTGATTACGTGAAGGAATAGGAAATGAAATTGTAAAATTGACATATTTGATTTTTAAAAGGGGTAATGTGATTAGACAAAAACCCTTGTCCTAATTGGTCAAAATTTTCATTTTTTAGGTCCGTCGGTCCTCCAAGTGTGATTTTTTGAAAAGTTTTGGACTTTAGTATGAGATAAAATGAAAGTTATATGATCGTGGCTGCTATCCACCATTAGGGTCCGTTTGATTGCAAAAATGGAATTTGGGTGGAAAGAAAATGAATTTCACGGAATTGAATTGCTTAGAAATTATTTTTCTGAGAATTGTAAATATTATGTTTGATTAGTATAATTTTTTACGCGAAAAATGCTGAAATAAAAGTTTTTTAGGTGTTCGTTTGACTTTATTTTACATGAAAATTGTTAATTAAATGGATATAATTTACTGGTATTGAGAATGAAATTTGTTTCCATTGCCAAAAAAATCAAGAAAATCATCTATCTTATAGTGTTCGTTTAGCTTTATTTTACATGAAAATTTTGTCAATTAAAGAGAAATATTTTTTTACAATAATTCTTAAATTTTATTTTCATTGCCAATTGAAAAAAATGCTACAGTGACTCGAATTGGAATTCCAATTCAAGGAAAAACTAGAAAATGGCTTATGTGGCAAGAAACTTGGAAATGGAATTCTAGGGAAAATTTTGGCTATCAAATACCCATAAAATTGAAGTTAAAATTGATTTTCTATTTTCTAGGGAAAATTTTCACCTATCAAACATACCTTTAATTTTTCATTAACCAAGAAGTGAAAAATTATGCAAATAAAAGGATGGTTCATTTCATCGTCATCTCCGCCAATTCAATTTTATATCTATTAAATTCCAAATAGATTATCTCAACGTGTCACTCTCATGCAACCTACGTGTCGCTACATCTTTCATTTTCTGTTTTCCTTTTCTCACCGCTGACAAAAGCCTCAAACCACCCCCAGCCTCCATTACATTACAGATTACGCCTTCTGACCTTTCTCTGCATTTGTTGGTGTTCATGTTTCAGAAGAGTCCATCTCTCACTTTTTTCAGGAAATCCCGCTTCAGCAGAATGTAACTCTCTCTCTCTCTCTCATGTCTCTCTCTCTCTCTCTCTCTCTCTCTCTCTCTCTCTCTCTCTCTCTCTCTCGTTTTGTTAATATGCTTTTGGGATTATCAGTTTGCTAAATCTGAGTATTGGGCTTCAAATAATATTTTCATTTATTTAGTTCCCTGGTAGGCTCGGGAGCGTAAATGAGGATTTAAGATCTTTCATATAACTATTACAGAGATCCTTTTGGTGGATCCAACTTGAAGGACCGACTGGAACTTTCCTCAGAATTTTTAATTCATAATTTGTCCGTACTTTTTCTACAGATACGTCCATACAAATTTGATTGTAAATAGAATGGAGAAAATGTGCAACTTGTTTTACATTTTGAATTAAATTTTTGCAGCTGTAAATGTGAACACACTTTTTTTCCCCCTTTGATAAAGGAAGCCATTCGCATATTGGCAAAAGAATGAAGGGTCAAATAGAGAGTATGCGAATTCAAATTCTTCCTTTTGTCTACATATTGCTAAACAAGATGTCCCTTATTCAATGTGTTGCCTCTTTTGTTCTGGACAATGTTGTTTGATTTTTGGGCTAAGCCTTAGTTATGTAACCGAGGAAAAATATTTGTTTCTTCTTGCTGCAACTAGTTTTTGCACTTGTTTTGCCCGAGTTTGGTGGAGTTTAAAATCACCCATTTGAGAAAATTTCTTTTTTATGGGGATTATGTATATAAATATTGAAGATAAAACAAATAATGTATTTAGACAGAAGAATTGGACATCAAGTATTTAAATAATTTAAAAAAAAATCTAAAATTCATAACCTTCTTATAATATGTAGAGATTGGTTGCTTCTTCTTACGCTTTCATTCTGTATACTCCTTTGTTTCACTTTGATGAATCATCTGGACTGTCTTCCCTAACGACCTCTTGCTTGGCAGTACTTATTAGTCTCATTGATTCTTTAAAGATCCATACATGAGTTTGTATATAGAGATAAAAATGTATGAAAACATGGTTAAAACATAAAGTTTTATTCAAATAAGAAGGTTTAAGAGAAAAAAAACTCTTAAAACTTATTTATTTACATGAAAGATCCATTGATGGATCCACTATCTTTTGAGGATTTAGCCTCGAATAAAATACATTAAAATTTTTGAAGATAAAAATTTTTCCTCGTCTTTTCCTTCTTTGAAGTCTCTTCTTTTATAGTTGGCGGGAAAGATTCCCTACCCTCTTGATTCGTCCATTTGTCTATATCAATAGTTTTTTTTTTTTTTTTTCCGCAAAAGCAAAAATAATGATAAAGTGATATGACAAATTTGTCGGCCTTTTGTAAAAGCAATTTCCCCTTTTTAAAAAGTAGATGCTTCTCTTTTTATTCTGATTGGCCTTCTCGGCTTTTACTCTCTGCAGTGCTTCCACTTGATTCGTCTTCTTTTGTCTGCAATATTCCTTTTGATTTTTCATTGTCCTCCATCATTTTACACCATTGACAATCATGATATTTTCCAAGACTTTGTTTTACTGCCTTGCATAATTGTCCTTCATAATTTTTCGAGACATTCAATAAATTATAAAAATTCTTTTCAAAGTTGCACAGTGCTTTGATTCCTTCAATCTTGATCATTGAACCTGTCTTACTAGTAACCAAGACAAAATTTGATGAGTAATTTATATTGATTTTTGATTCTTTATTGAAGGCTCTTAATCCGGTTAGGATCCTTTGGTAAGATAGGCTTTTCCAGTCATCCATTTTTTCTTCATTGACACATTCAATCTGTCCTTCTATTGGTTTATTCAGAATAACTTCTGGAGTAGTTCCTTTAACCAAGAGTCCTTCTTCATTCCAAAAATGGAATTGTACTATTGATTTTTAACATCACCTGTAATTCTTGATCTTTA